TAGGGCAATAAAATCATGACTTTTTAATAGTTGACATGGCAATGGAGGATTCGTAGTAGATAAGCTGTGATGTCTTGGTGGTACACGTGGTAGTTCCGGACTTTGTGGTTGAAGTCGTCCACTTTGTGACAATGATCTTGGTTTAGGTACTACTGGGGAAGGACACTTTAGTGTCTTTTTTGATAAACCTAATAATAGTAATTGGTTTTAACATATTATTTTTATATCTTAACTTTTATCATCTAAAGGTGTCTAAAAATGGCATAAATTAATGAAAATTTAACACTTTCAATTCATGAATTGCTACACTTGTGAGCAAATCTTACATGTATGTATTCAAAAATAGCCAGAATTTATGTAATATAATTTTGTACAAATTTGTACACTCTATTACCCAAAATTTATTTAAGTGTACAAATTTGTACACATTATTATTTGAATGTACAAATTTGCACACTTCTGAAGTGTACAAATATGTATACACTCTAATGTAGAGTGTACAAATTTGAACAATCACACAATATTACATGTATATAGCTATGCCAATATACGACACATCTTTGCCATTTTCTTTCTAAAAGTGCTGAAATTTATGTGAAGTAATGAAATTAATTTTATGAAACTATTGCAATATTCAATGACCTTCTGTCAGTACAAATTTGAAACAAACTTTTAATAATAAAAGTTAACTTTTAAAAATAATGTGTTTTTTTAAGTTTTAATGAAACACTGACTGTCACTACAATTTATTGGTTGCTGATTACATTAGCTAATTAATGCATTTTTATACCTTTTACTTTTCTAGTAGCTACTCTCATTTTATGTAGCAGTGTTGGATGTTCTTCAAATGCTCTTATAAGAAGAGACATTCCTTCATCAGCACTAGTGGCACTTCTAATCTTTCTTATAGTATCAGCATCAAGCAGTGGTAGAGACTCCTCCAGTTGTCCTTTGATCAATAACTCATGAAACTCTATCAATTCAGATACTGTTGGTCTATCATCTGGTAAATCCATTAATGCAATAGGAGAGAGTGGAGGACCTCCTATCAATGGCTTGTTTGTACCTGTAGGAGGATGCTGAGAGAATTAAAATAGCTGTAGTAATTACAGTGTATGTCAACTGAAGCATTTCATACTGCATACCAATCAATTATGGCTTACTATGAATTTTATACATGATTAACAATTTTAATATTTTACATTACTAACTTGATTACACTCCTCCACCAATCTATGAAAATACTAATTTTTGTACATCTAAATCATCAATGTAACACTCACCAGTAGCAGTGCTGTGTACATTATTGGTTCCTTTGATATCATTACCACTGATCATAGCATTACATTCTATAGAATACACACACAGAGTCAATACTAATACAATCAGTGATATTAACTTACTCTCTTGATCTAACTTGTCAGCTACAGCATTCTCATTCATAGATTTAAGAGCATCTGACAGTGAGTCAAAGGTAGTTCCTCCTTCACTGTCAACATTATCAGTTCTACGTAACCACTTGGTCAGGCATTCTGTCAAGCAGCAAGGTACATCACCAAAGAAATTGTTCCCAAAACATCTAGTGTGTCCTTGTGTAGTCCTAGTCTCAGTCCCAGCTCATGCCATCTTGTCTGAGGGAAACCACATCTCTTCAACAGATCAAGCACATCAAAAAGTTGATCTATGAAAACAATATATAAAAATATACTACAAACTAAAGCTAATGGATAGTACTAATAGTCAATGGAGAAGTGATGAGAGAAAAAGAGCTGCTGCAAAGGGATAGGGGTATCACTTGCATAGCCTGTACTCTACTGCTAATGTTTGCTACCAGGATGAAGATCTACCCAATTCGGAAACCTTTCCCATCAAATGAATGGGAAAACACATTGCCAATACTGCAATAGTTCTTCATACTTCATGAGCCACACCTAGACAATTGAAGATTCTTCTTACTTTAATCATTTTTTCTCTGCCAGTCTGCCTCTGTGTCTCTTTCTGTTTTTCTAGTTTAGGATTAAAGTCCCGGTACCTGTACATTATTGTACAGTTGGATCAAGAGGAGGTGTCAGGATATCGATAATAGAGAAGACATTAAAGTATGTGTACAAGACTGTGCATGCATCTGTACATATACACTATACACTGGAGGGGCTAATATTGGATGGGATTAATATACTGGGTACTCAATGCATTTATAATGAGTGACTGATTATAATGTAGTGGTAGAACTATGGTGTTCTTGTTGCTTGTGCATAATGGAGATTGACAATGCAAATTGTTCTTATTTTCCGGCACCAACTTCTGGCTTTATTTATTCACCTTATTCAGTTTAACCTTATGCATCTCTTGGGTTTTTTTCCCGAAAAATGGCTCCAAAATCATTTTAAATTTGTATGACATTTTCTGATACATATTGATGTCCTTATGCTGTGTAGAAAGTTTGAGCTGATTCAGATTGAATTTGGATTTTTTACGATTTTTTAAGTTGCTCAAAAACCAGGTCAAACTCCCTGTGCTATAATGGTCTTGAGCTAAATTTTGCCAAAATTGAAAAGGACAAAATTTAAGCCCCATGCTTCTGTATCCTATTTTTAATTTGTACACATTACTTCTTTTAGAGGGACCTCCTATACTTTATATAATATATACAGTCTCTTTTATTCAGTAGTTGTTCTCTCGTTGTTTCTAGTTTAATTTGGTGAGACAGTCTGATCAATCTCAATTACTAATACCATTCCATCATGATCCTAAGACTAACAATGATTTTGTACCAAAGTACTATACTGGTTTTTGTTAGAACTGAGATTATCTATTCCCTTATTATCAATAGGGCCAATGGGCAGAAGTAAGTCTCCTTGAAACTGGTGTCAAAAAAGTCTGTTTTGGTAAGAATAAATGGGTTTAACCTTGTCTGCTCATGGTTTTTCTAAAATCTCAAGAACCAATGGCTCTAATTTAACACTACCTCACGGGCAAAGCCTATG